TACCTTGAGCGTCATGTGCGGGGATCGCGTAAGTATCCTGATAGGTGACGGTAGCAGGCGTATGAGTGGTCATAGGATGAGTGGACAGAAGTGGTCGTAACACACATCTCATTCAGGAGAGCTTGGGCGTTGTTCAAACGAGATCAGATTTCATCGAGTTAATGTGGGATCTGCGTCACTTTAGTATCACAGCGCACGCACTGTCAGAAAACATGTGCCTTGGAGCTTCTGGAGATTAGGATCCAAAAGGATCCAAGGGAGCATGAATATCTATATATTCAATATGGATTTCCTTTGTATAGAGCTTGGTGCTCAAGATCAATCATTTAGTATACTCTACTATTAGTTACAAATTGCATATCATTATTGCCCTTACTTTAAGTCCCTGCTTGACGCCTAGTTATAAACCACCTCAAGAGCCTAGAGCACTTCAACGTGATCTAGACGGCAAACCTCGTTACACTAGCATTTTCCCCTCGGAGGAAACTTCCTCTTCACCTTCATATCTTTAAAGGTATATAGAATATTCCTCAAAATTACTTGGCACCGAACATAAATTCAGGTATACACATATATACATACATTCAAATACAAGTATGGTACATACTACACATACAAATACTACCTACCTAGTAGTCCACATATACACCCACACACCCATACATAATATAATTACCAGAAAAATAAATAAATTGGTGGATGTAATTTAAGTTACATACAGTATCACAGCCGCTTTCTTTCTTTCCCCTGGTGAGTGGCGCTGGTGGAGAATATCCATCCATTCATCCATCCATCCATCCATTCATCCATCTGTATGACAGGACAGGACAGGGCGAACGGGAGTTGGATTGGGATTATATTATCGTGCAGCACGGACATGGTTACTCAAACGGTTATCCTATCCTATCCTCAATTTCGGAGCAGGATTTTTATTGGTGTTTGGTGTTTGTATTTTGATGGGAGGTAGGTAGGTAGGTAGATACGGAGGAGGAAGAAAACTAGCTAGCTAGCTAGCTAGCTTTGAAGTTTGAGTTTTGAGGTTTGAGGAAGGAAGGAGGGGACTTCGTTGTTTGTTAGGTAGGGTAGGATAGATAGGAGTAGGAGGGGCGGAAGAGAAGAGAATGGGTGTTGGGTTTCTTTAATCCCGAGGTTGTATTCGAGTCCGCTGTTAAGATTTTATGGTAGATGTTATTATGTATTGTATCTGTCTATCTTTCTGTCTGGTTGGTTGATTGGTTTCTAGAGCGAACCATATATAACATCCTACCATCCTTGAATAAATACCCCCACGGAAAGCAAAGAAAGAATTGATATCACAGGAACGTGATACAAGACAGACGATGAAATATACATAGTACATACGGTAAATACCTAGTCCATACATACATACATACACACCTACATACATGTAAGTGAGTGGATACTCTGTAACGTCATACAAAACACCTGGCAGTTTTGGTATTTAATCAAAAGTGTACGGGATCTATATGTACGAGGTATGCAGAGAAACCTTATAGATGGAACGAGGTGATTTGATGGATGGAAGAAAGATAATACCTAGTATCCATCCATCCATCCATCCATCCATTCATTCTTCTCCCCAGCATTTCCCTCCCAAGGCTAATTAAGAAAACTCTCTACTCAGAAAATGAACGCAACAGTGCAACTTACTTGATGATTCTTCTCGGATCTCCTTTCCTCGTGTCGATGATTTATTGGTGTATGAAGGGAGATACCTAGGTATGATTGTAGATCTCTGTAGGTACCTGAAGCCAAGATTTACATCTAAATTTGTGATGCCAGACGGGAGAAGTAGAAAGGTGTAGGAGTATCTTGTATTTGGAGTGAGGTACTGACTGTACTCGAGTAGTTCTACAAATGTAGATGTGCTTTGACCTTTTTCTCAAACTGATGTGGTTCGTAGGTTACGAAGAGCGAATTATAGGTCTAGATACTAGACTAGGTACTTCAATTCAAGCATAAGATTGCATTGTCGGTGCACAAATATGGATCTTGATGTGATATGATATGATATGATATGATGATTGATGGATGTTAAGTAAGAATCGAGATAGCAGTAGCTAGCTGGCTAGGTACATGGATTGTTGGGGTGAGAGATATTCATTAGGGTGTTCATTACTCTGTATAGGTATTTATATCATTCATGTTAAGCTAGGTAGGTATCTAGGATGACATAAAGTCTTATCCTAGTGATAATGTTGGCTGTTTTGAATGAACCAATGAAATAACAGAATTTATATTTATGCATGAACTATTAACCTTAGGTATGAAAACTTATCCAAGAAAAAGCACAAGATAAGTTTCATATAAGATTAAATAAATTCTTAAACCTAGGGTTGATATATATTATACAGATACAATTTCTCGATCACAATGGCTCACTACAACATTAGTTATCATACATACCTACTAGCTGAAGTAATCTTATATCTCTTACAACTGCAACCCTATCAATTGATACCTATATCTAATAATTATACTTTGTACTCTGTCTGCATTGCTCTCTACTCCACTCTTAATGCACCTGCACCTGCACCCCGGGGAAACGCATGATTTTAAGCATACCTACCTAGGTACTTACTGCGTACAGGATGCGATGTCCAACATATCACACCATCATTTATGCATTACAGCTGCACGGCCGGGGAAAACAATTTTCATGTTTGTGTCTGATAGTCGTGCGTGCCCTGTGCTGTTTTGTTTATATGATGTGAATGTAAATGTAAATGTAAATGTAAATGGATCTGTGATGTAAATGTAGATGTATCTATGAAAGTTTAAACACGCAGATACTTAGGTACGTATTTGGGTACCAACCTACTTACAGGATAGAAGCTCTTCCGAATATTCCTCAAATGATTCCCAGAGAAAAATAATAAGACTCTTACATTTCAATTTATCTACTACGCGATAGAACACCTGAACCTCTATTTGTAAACTTTGGTACCGTTGTCCGTTGTCACACATTACCATACTACCTATGTGGATTTCAGAAGGAAAGACATAACCTACGTAAGGTAGGTAGGTCGTAAAGTAAAATATTACCAATGGAAGGTTTACCGATAGAAAAGTCTCGAGCTTTTCAGGCTTCTGGAAACGAAATCATCGATGTTGGTGGCGATTCATCAGTATTGAGGACTCCACTGATCCTCTCTATATCCAAAGTATGGTACAAAAATATAGTTCTGGAAAAACCTTGGTCAACCTTATAGAAGTGATCCAAATGTCGCCGTCTAAGATGACGATGAGAGACTCAGAGGAGGAATATCCGGATGCCTTCGGATATTCCGTTGCCCCACGAGTTTTTGTTGGTTGAACTTAGTAACGTTAGTTCGTATCTCCGTATCTACGTGTAAGTTGGAACCCTGAAGCCTGTAAGGTTACGTGATAAATTTTCACCGTTGAGAAATTGGAGAATGATTAAAATTTCGAGTACTTGAGTTCCTACCGGTAGTCGAGACCTTGGATATAATCCGAAGATACCTAGGTACATGGAATGAAAAGAAAGAATGAAAGAATGAATGAATAAAAGAAAGAAAGTCTTCCTCCGAGTCACCCGTCATAACGGATTTATCCCGCACATTAAACCATTCATTAACCATTTGAACCAGTTGATACTTGGCACTACTGGGGACTATTTACAGAGTAAGTAGAACAATTCTAAACTTTCCGGAACGGGCCATTTATTGGAAATGAAAGTTATTTAAAACCAAGACCTATTCGCCTTGGACTGAAGAGGATATAATCTTATAATAAAAAAAGTGCTTTACTATGCCGAGTTTCATAATTTATGATTGTGATCGACATATCAACCGGTTCTCTCTCCTAATGTGTCTTTGGGGTGTGATGTCGACTTGAAGAACTTTCCTTCTATATGCCGGTAAGGTTATTATTTTATATTTTCCCAGTACGCTATAGACGTGTCGATGTTACATTGTACAAATGAAATGCACTCATTGTACGATCTCTGTACTGACTAAGGAAATGAGTTAGAGAGAGAGACATTGTGTGAGTACCGGCGTCGATAGTGTATTAAATAGATGAATGATTTACTCCGTATATTGGGGTGTGGTAGTGGTATTGACTGGTGGATTGATTTCCATTGTCAAGGGTCATCAGGTCTTGGTGCGAAAATCAACAGTTGGAAGTGCTTTCTTTTAAGATTATGCCAAATTGAACCAATCGATTGGGTTTTGCATTGCAATTTAGCTTTGTACGGAGGAGGAGTCACTTATTACTCGACCGTTACATTTAATTAAGCCCATGTCGTCGGATTGCCTCCGGAAGCCTGTTCACTTGTGACTCTGAGAGGTTAATTGAGAGGGTTAAAATAGTTGTTCATTGGCTTATGTTGGAATGATGGGTAGGATGGGTATGATGGTAGATGTGATTTTGCCGGGTATGAAATTATCTCCATTGATCCTCTTCCAATCGATGATGTTGGAGGTTTTGAAGCTTGAAGACTTAGTTTTGGGCACACCTACCCATGTCCACTTGCTTCGTTCCTCTTGTTCCTCGGGACTTGCTAGTATTTCTCGATACCGAATCTTTCCCGCGGATTGTTCAAATAGTCTACGGGGTTAATCCGAATGAAGTCGTGGGCTCTCTCGGGGTAATAGTGATAGTGTAGCGAGTACAATGACTTCGTCGAGCAATTTCCTTATAGTTTTGGCATGGCACTATTCCTATTCATGATGTGATATGTCCTGGCCCCTGACCCCTGATATGGAAAATAAAAATAAAACTTCTCTTAAAGAGTGGAAATATTTAATGGAGTCGTTCATTGTGAGCAGACAAGATGGTGATCAAAGCATCAAAGCGAGTCATCCAGCAACAGATTAATTGTCAATCTTATACGATACCCCTTCAAGCCAAGTATTTAGGGCTTAGGTTTTAGAGGCTTCTACTCTTTTAGACTTTCTGAATGAACATGAGAAGGTGAGAAGGTGAACTGATGATGGGGAACTGCAAACCTAGTGTGAAAAGCATATCGCATATCGCATATCGTACGGTGTATCAAACTACATTAGACTTAGAGTAGTAATTATTTAGTAACTAAACTAGTAACTCAGAGATAATATTTCTACGGCTATACCTTATTAGGACAAAAAAAAAAAAAAAGAACCTGTACATATACATGATTGGTTGACAATGGTTGGTGCTTAGGAACGCTGGTGGAATAAAATTCCCGAAAATGATGCTGGAACCCCTGACTGAACGCCTCACCAAAAGATATCCACCACCTCATTTCCTCAATTTGAATCGCCGCCACTATCCCATGCATACATACTAAACCATATTTATCCATCGCGAATTCTCGCCTGATCCATTTACCTTCTTGACTGACAGTTTTATACCGAAATCCTTGCAGAAGATTTGATCCTACAAAGTCTTTTCATCCTAATCCCAGCCAGTGACCAGTCAAGATCATTCAAGACCATTCAAAGACCGAAGAGCCGGTCAGGTCGAGGGGAAACACGAAAAGATACCCTTAAGATTTGGGTCTAGGTTTACTTCCCTAGTTATGGAGCCCCGATACTTGTATGTGCCTTGGTGGATGGTGCTACCCATGATATGAATATCCACAGGGCACATTCACAGCTAAAGGGTAGAGAGTCCGTGTGTTCTTGAATCTCGTGGATCTTCACTTCCTTTACTTTCACTCTTGCTTCTAGAGAGAGGTATTGTATCTTATACTTTGATTGATATCCGAATCGACCGATCCATACCACGGCAGTACAGTATCGATAGGTCCTTTACCTCCGAACCTCGTGTATCTGTCTGGTTTCAGAGTGGGACAGCTCCAATTGGACCTGGAGGAAAAGAACACTACCGAAAAGACAGCAGCCAGGAGACTTTCCACCATCATCACGTATTTGCTTTTGACGTCGCGCAACCAGATATACGGTGAGTACTTCTTGTACCTTTGTACTCTCCCACAACGATACCGCGAATCCGAGCTCTCAAACAAGATGTTAGAGGAAATGTAGTGGTAGCTTGGAAAACATGCGATTGCCATGAACCAATGCTAATTGATGTCTTTCCTCAGCAAAAGAAGCTCGAGTCGCTCAGGATTTCGACGTCGCCCCTCACCACCCTTCTCGATTTTTGTCTCAAACGCGAGAACCTGGCTTACCTCAAACATTTGAGGCTGAAGTATATTCGACATGAACTACGAGTCGCGGTCATAAATTTCTGTCACAAGCAGTGAAGCAAGGAAAATACTGGACGGAAACATTTGCCATAGAATAACTGCCTTATCAAACTTTTACAAAAACCTATTCTTATGGTTGATCGATGTCTTAAAAAGGTATGTTCCGAGTACCTATCAATTTGGTACATATGAGCCAATTATTATACCTCGGGTCGACTTTCGTTCTCGAAATATATATACTAATGAGTCCATCTTAATTTAGCATCATTATTTGAAAACAATTATACCATTCTTTACTTTTTTCCATTTCATTTCCTATTTTATATATATTCACTCAAGCAAGCTTGGTTTTTGGGTACTACAGAGCAGTCCTCAGGAATCGTCCCCTTTAAGCTTCAAATAGCCTAAAGACCAGGTATCCTGGACCTAGTCAAACATCACATCTAATTGATTTTATCAAAGCAAACCCCCTTTCAATTTGAATTCACAAGGATTCAGATCTTCCCCATACTCTGTACAAAGCCTTCAATATCCTGTGAATATACCCAAGGATTACCCGAGCTTCGCCCAAGTCAAGTGAATCTTCAGAAACACACCATCAAGAAAAAACAAGAAGAAAAAAATCCTTAATGCAGTAATTCACTTAATCAAAGGTGATCTATGGGTGTCGGAGTTCGATTGAATTTGATTCTTTTCTTCTGTCAATAATAGGCAAATTCATCAACAGTCATGATGAAGGACAATGGATGGGAAACCGAGGATGAGCATGTAGCAGCAGCTCAATATCATCTCCCTCCTCCGACGGATACGCCTTACAGGACCCCGGCACCATCTATTCGCTCAAATCGCTCAAGGCACTCTTCAAGACGCTCATCATCACGACAAAAGTCGATATCTCCAGGACCATCTTCTTCACCACCACCGCTACCTTTGGGAGAGAAGCGCATGAGCGGCTCTCTGGATGTAACCAATGATGAAACGTAAGGAGTATGATGGCATTCATGATGTTGCGAAAGCTGACAACATGAGCAGGATTTCTATTCTCGATCCTAGACGATTCACACCAACTTTGCATGCTAATTTGGTTGCCGAAATTTTGACTTTACGTAGGGACCAGGAAGAGAGAATCAAGATCATCGAAAGTTTGGAAGAAGCACTTCATGATACCCGTGGAGAACATGAATCTCTGCAGGATCTTCTCGCCGATAATGCAAAGGAGAATCGGTCGTTGAAGCGTCAGTTGGCCTTACTGGAAGGTGGAACCTCATCTGCTTTATCGGAATTGGCAAAGGAGAGAGATGAAGCCGTCGAAACTACCACGGAGATGCGCCGTCGATTGGAAGCTATTCAGAAGAAACTCAAAAGCCGTGATGAGGATGCCGACCGCGTACAAAATCTCTGGGCCAACGACAAGGACACTTGGGATGAAGAGAGGAGAAAACTAGAAGTAAAGATTCATGTTTCGGAAAACAGGTTGAAGACAGTCTTGGACGAAGTTACCGCCTATGAAGCCAGTCTTCTAAGGACCCAACAACAGGGACCCGATACGGAAGACAGAGACAATGGAACAGAGAGTGATGGTGGTAGTGTGCGGACGATGAGTTTAACCAACAGTATACGCTTCTCGATGCTCAATGGACCCAATGGATACGGAGTCATCAAAGGGAACGGTCTCAGTCTTGCTGATGAATTGGATCTCGATGATGAAACCGATTATGAAGGTGGCCGCGATAGTGTTATGTCATCTCCTGAGAAACATCAACGAACTCAAAGTCGCGAAAGTATCTTATTCCGCACTCACTGCAGGAACCAGAGTGGTGACAGTATGAAGCGACCTGGAAGTATCATAAACCGAGGTACATCGTTACTTAGCCAAACGCTTTTAGAGATGTCAGAAAGAGGTATTTCAGAGAACGATGATATTTTATCTCAACCCAAGTTCCAATACGTCGACACTGGTGTTCAATACACTCCTCCACCATCGCCGAAATTATCTCTAGTGATCGAGACAGTCTCTATTATCGAACCAACAGCGCTAGCCGAGATACAAACCCCGCAAATCCTCGAGAAACAGTCTCCACTTGAAACAACAACTAAAGAATGGGAGGTTGGAGCGAACCAGCGAAGAAAGCGTGTGTATACAAATCCTCCCTTGGTCATAGAACCTCACAAAGATTCCCCCATGGTATCTGCAGCATCACAAACTGTGGACGAGCCTCTTAGCCCCCCAAGAACACCAGTCTCTCCAACCAGAGCTCCACCACAACCACCTTCTAGATTCACGCCTATCGAAGAGAAAATTGAGACGACTTCCACTTCCACACAAACAGACACTCAAATCGAAACCCCCAACACATCGCCAACATCACCAAAGCGTATCCCACCTCCCATACCTATTCCATCGATTCAACTGCACCCACCTTCCTCAGCCCCAGCAACTCCTCGTGAGTCATTGTTGCCACAACTTTCCAAAGATGTAGGCTGTCAAGTTGCAATTTCAAAGCCTATATCAACAAGATCCATGGCTGTACAAACAGAAGAAATTAGGGTAGCCCAACGGTTGATGTCTCTTCCACCTCATCTTCACCCATCTATAATATCGTCCGGCCCTCCATCACCCGAGATAAGACTTGAAGGCCTTCAATTCTCACCAATTCCGGACACTCTTCCTCCCAAGAACCCGCGTCGCCAAAGCAGCCAACGAAGCATAACAACGCTTCCATCCTCGCCGCCTGCAATGGAGATCAAAGATGCCTACCCAGGTAATAATGATGATGGACCTCTGGCGAAAGATAGAGGTCATATTAGAAGACCTCATCGCATCAGCAGTCTTTTTGCAGGCTTTGATGGTGCAAGTTCTGATGAGGCTGATGAATTTGGCGATGGTGATATTAGCGATAATGACTTCAGGACAGCACTTTCTGCGCCTAAACCAACTAAGAAGGATGCTAAGAAAGTTTCACAAGTTTCAAAATCACTTCCTCAAAAAACGGAAATTCCTGATATCTTGGCCATTAAGAATCGCACTAGCGAAGAAAATGAAGCCGATGATCATTTCGATGAAGAAGCATTAGAATTGCCTCCAGGGACATCCGCCAAAGCCGCTCGGACTCTTGGTCAAGCTCTACCTATTGTGTCAATGGCGAAGCCAGCTCAAATGCATCGTGCAGCTCTTATCCAAAGTGGTGTTAAGGCTCATCGAGCTCGACCTGGCAGTTCCGGATTGTCCGAAGAGGTCGCACCTCCATTTCCAATACCTACCAGAGCTAGCTCTCGAAGAACTGGAATTGCTTCGAGCGCCCCGAGCGATGTTACTAGAACCCCCAGCAATGGACGAGGATCAAAACTTCATCGTGCAGGTAGTGTTGGCCGAGCAGGCAGTGTTAGAAAAGTTCGATCCACAGCTGCTGTGAATAGAAGTAGACGTATTGCGCGACGTTCTGAAAGCAGATCACCGCCTATGTCACCAACTCTAGAACCTGAAAGCCCTGGCTTGCCACCACTTCCCAGCAACGATCTTACTACTCCACGATTCTCAAAGGATAACGGCAGCAGTCGTTACAGAACGCATAGACATCAATTGTCGACAACAAATACTGCTGGATCATCGGCGGTTACTGATAGTCAAACTACTAACCAAGCCACAAGTGTCGTGGATGCTATTGCACAGACGATGGTTGGAGAGTGGATGTTTAAGTACGTTAGAAGACGCAAGTCCTTCGGAGTTTCTGATCAAGATGGAGACAATGCGACTAATGGTGCTCGTCACAAACGTTGGGTTTGGTTGGCACCCTATGAACGGGCTGTCATGTGGAGTAGTAAACAACCCACGTCTGGATCCGCACTGCTGGGCAAAACCGGAAGGAAATGTAAGTTATGTAAACATGCTTCTTCTAACCATACTAATTTTAACAGTAACAATTCAATCCGTCCTGGATGTTAAAGACGACAATCCACCACCAAAGGGATCTAGTGGGGTTTTCAATCGTTCAATTCTGATTCTTACTCCGGCACGCGCTCTCAAGTTCACTGCTGTTTCACGAGAACGACATTATCTCTGGCTTACTGCCCTATCCTTCCTTGCACATTCATCGCAGGCCGTGCCTGATGTTATTGCACCTAATTCTGCTGCAACACTTTCTACCAAAGCTCCTCCGCTACCCGACTTCCAAAAGCCTAGTCGTATGCAAAAGACTCACAAAATACGAGATTCGATCAAGGTCGCGAAGGGAAAGAGTTCATTCAATCGTAGCAGCTCTGCCAGAACTTTTTCAACTTCTCAGCAAACAGATACAACTACTAGCGTTCGCGATAATGAATCGTTTTACACAAATTCACACTCAGTACGCTCGGAACCCGCGGAAGCACCATTCGTCCCTCGATTTTCCGAAAGAGGAATGGGTGGCCATGGCAGGAAGCGCAGTAATACCGGCTCGCATATTCCGCCTCCTTTATCTTTCCGAGGTTTCAGTGGTAGTCATGTACCTACCCACAGTACCGCAGGAATGAGTGATAGAACAGTAGATTCTTCGGAGAACCAAAGCTCTTACCATTCTCAGCATTCTTCGGTAGCAGGTTACAATGGACCTAGTAGTCGTTCATCTATTCGTACATCTGATGCTAGTGCACGTCCAGGAGTTGTTGTTAATAACTTCTTCGATGCAGTAGGAACTGTGCGAATGGAAGCTTTTATTTCTCCATTAGGTGTTACGAGATTTGACGATTTTCCCGATGAACAAGATGAGATGGATATGATGAGTCTGCAGCGTCGACGCAGCAGAGATGGAAGGAGGAGGAGTAGAAATAAGGAATCTTTTGGTGTCAGTCGAAGTGGATTTGGTGGATTCGGCGGAAGAGCAATAGAGGATTGGTATAGTGGAAGTAGAACTGCCGGGGAGGAAGAATATGGTCATCGTGACTTTGAGGAGAGATCGGATAAATTTGGAAGAGATTCTAGGGAGGATCCTTTCACAAATTTTTGATCTCACTTCACGCGCATACAAAACACAACTATTAGGTTGTATGATATTACATATACATTCATTACATTTTCTTGAGTCTGGTATGGTATGGGTTGGGATTGGTCTGGTGGTTATTGGATGGTGGGTGGGCAGGGAGGAATTTCACAAAGCTTAGCATGGGGAAATGCTAGCTGGGATCTTAGGGAAGGAATGGAGGATAGGAGGGTCATTTCTTATCTCAAGAAGTGGAAATATGAGGCTCGCGCCGACAAAACAGAAACCATCTCGATGGATATCGATGGAAAGTTCTTACCGTTAATGTTTTTGTATATTCTACAATATCCTGCAAGCCAGCAAGCATGTTTCTTTTTTCATTTTTGTCCTTTCTTTCTGTCGATCTTTAGCTTTCTTGTACTTAGCTACTTTTTCCTTGGTTATTTTTTCTCTTTTTGAGATTTCTTTGATAAAGTAGGCGATAGGCCTTTTTTTTGGATATCCTCTTCGCTCGGTGTTGGAGTGGAAGGATGATCGGATACCCCTTTTTCTTGACGCTCGTTTTTTTTTCCAGCTATTTTACTCTACGGGCTGTTTACAGCACTTTTTGTTTTATTCTAAAAGCTTGGCGGAGGGTGAAGGATGAAGGGTGGATGCTTGGTTTGAGGAGGGAGGTGAGGATGAGGGAGGTGAGGATGAGGAGAGAAAGGTAGAGGGGATTGTTAGATAAGAGGGAAGGAATGGTGATGTTAAGAGATGGGAGGAAAATAGATGGATAGGTGCATAGATGCATGGATGGTTGGTTGGATAGATGGATACAAAATGGTATCGTGAGAGTCTAAATAGAGTAAAGTAAATAAAATATACATTCTCTACATACATGTATGTATATGAATCTTATTCTATCATGTGAAATGTATATACTGATTTCGTGAGTTTTATATGTAAGATTATCATCCAAAAAATTAGTTTCTTATTTAATGTATATGTTAAAGTGAATGGTTCCTGCGTAGCACGTGCACAGGGCACTAGTCCTATTAGGACTAGATTGAGAAGCTCTCTGTAAGAGAGCTTCGCACTTCCGTAGAACTTAGAAGAGAGATTAACCTACTAGACCAATATTACCTCAGTTCTGCCCTATCAGCTTCCCACTATTCCCTGTGTGAGGTCATTCCTTTTAACAATTTTTATAGATTTTTAAGTGTTTTTCTTTGTTCAAGAAAGAATCAATCTAATCCTATTAAGGTATAAAAATTTATAATATAAACCGTCACGGTCTAATGAACATCTAAGATCTTATAATTCTTTGTTAAGATTTTATCATTTCTGATATAGATTATTGAGATAGGATATTCTATTTAACAAGCGGGTCTATTTTCAATCAATAGATTGCCTACCGATGCATCACTCCACCATATTCCTCCCTTCCAACACATAACGTCGCCCTCAGCTCGCAGCTCACTTCTATACATCACCAAATCCACCAATCTCCCCCAAGTCCCATATCCCTCCCTCGCCATCCAGCCCACAAAAAACCCACTCCCCTTCCCTCTGAATATACTCGCTTCACGAACTAGTACTGGCGATCAACTATTCGAAAAATAGCCGGGCCCTCTATGTAATACAGTAGGTTTTGCACAGATGTATAATTGCCACAAAAGTCGTACCTAATGCCCACCAGGCGCTTTCCTTCTTTTTTCACTGGCCGTAGAAATGGTCGGTGTCTTGACAGATGCGGCAATATTCCCAAACAAACCCTGAGGATCCAAACTAAAAAATTGTTGATTATTTTGCTGATTATCGTACAGATGCTGGGTCCAGTAATATGTCGCTAATGTAGTTATGTAAAAAGGTCTTTGCTGGAAAGGAGACATTACCTACATCAAATTCGCTAAATTATGCTAATACTACCTTGATTGATTGTAGGTGTATCGAGGGTGTGTTACAAGTATGCCGCAGCCTGTATTTTCCCGAGTACAGCACCAGCA